ATGCTTATAAATACTGTCAATAACTCGTCTATCTTCATGCTTCAACCCCACCTTTCTCAAGTTCTCAAACATCTTATTCCACTTTACGTTGTCAAAAGCCTTATCCAAGTCTGCAAATTCCATAATCGTGTCTTTATCTTTCTTAATCCGTCCTTCTATTATCAAACGTCAGGTCAGAATTGCCCCTCGAGTAACCGTACTTTCCCTAAAAATAAAAGGGCAACTGTGTGCAACAGTAATATTCTACAAACAAAACACGCAAACCTAAGCACTCGTAAAACTACTGACGTATTTTAACTTCCAATCCATCTCTGAGCCAACTTCATCCATAACTAATATCCGTCCTCCCATTTCCTTCTTCGTCTGCCCAGCGGTCATTTTCCAGAATAAAAATTGTGCCTTGTGGTGTCGAGGTTTAGCAGAGAGCTCGAACTTCTTCGCTCTTTTCCACGTGATATTCTGTCTAGTAACAAGTTCTTGTATGTTGCCTTCTTCCGGGTCTCTTTCTTCCAAATTAATTTATATTTGTTACCATTCCTAGATATTTAAATTTTTTTTAAATATTTTCAAATCATTTCACATTTCCCAATGTCAATCTCAGCTTCAATACGGCTCTACTGTACGTACTCCAGCTTCTTAAATTTATCAGCTACGTCAACATTTAGCAATTTCCGAAAGTAATCTTTCCTTCTGTTTACGATGCCACGCGAGTCTGCGAGCAGACCCCCATTCTCGTCCTTCACCAGATGTGTCCCGAGTTTGTACCCCTTATTAACACTGGAATCTAATCTGCTTCCTCTGTATTAACAGGATAGAGCATCCTTAATCAAACCGTGCTCTATTTCGCAAAATTTTATAACACTCTACATCCTTCTTCTTATAGCGTTATAACCCTGTGTGGGTCTTAGCTCGTTCGATGAGTCTTTTCCATTCTGTCCCATCATTCACAATTCTTCTCCATCCCCTTACTCCCATCGTCTATCCATCGTTTCCGTCGTCTCCATTCCATCACTCTTCTAGTTACCCTGTTTCCTTCTACTCTTGCAACGTGGCCAAGCCAGGATAACCTTTCGCTTTTCATCAGCCTCACGATATCTGCTCCCTGTATGATTCATCCTAATTCTCCAGGAGACATCACTATTCTGTATTGGACCATGCATTTTCCGTAATATTTTGCGTTCAAATATTCAAAGTCGTTGCTCATCAAAGCTAGTTAATGTCCAGGCTACTGGTCTTATCAGAACTTTATAGATTCTCAGTTTAAGTTCCCTCCCCAGTATTTTAGACTTCATTAAATTCTGATAGGCATTATAACATCTATTACCATCCACAATACGTGCTTTAATTTCATTAGTCACTGAATTTATAGTATTAATCTGTGAACCCAGGTAATTAAAATTCTCAACATGTTCAAAATTATAATGCCCTATTCTCAATTTATTTGTAACTTTCATATATTTTCTTTTCAATTCATTTATTTTTAGCCCCCTTAACTGTGTTTCTTCTGTCAAATTTAGTACTGTTTCTTCCAGTGCAGCTTTATTTCTGCTAATAATAGCTATATCATTATGCCTATGTGTCCTGAGATCTCAAGTTTCCGAATAGATGCTTCCAGCGTCAGGTTAAAAAGCACTGTTCAGAGAGCATCTCCTTGTCTGACTCCCATATTGACATTACATGGTTTAGTTAGCTCACCATCTACTCTTACTACTGCCTTCGAGTCTTTCGACGTCGCTCTAATGAGCCTGACGTACTTAGACGGTATCCGTAACACGAGAATATCGCTTAACATTTGGTCTCTATTGAGACTATCAGATGCTCGTCTCTCTCTCTACACTCTCCTCGGCTGAATTTTTCATGTTAGCCGGTATATTTTACCAGGCCTTATTGACGTCTACTCCCCTATCCTCTGCACTCTCTTCAGAATTTTCGCCGATTAAAAATTATTCAAAATTTTTAAGTGATGCTCTTGCTTAATTTCTACATCGCTCAGTCTTTGGACGCTGAAATTCTCAATTCTGTATATTTGCCCCGCCTCTTTTCTGACCTAGAGTCTTGACTCTGTCACTAAATAATAGAGTCACAGTCTTCTACCCTATAAGATCGCACGTCTAGGATGTTTCTTTCTCTGCTCCTATCGATAAGAACGTCATCAATGCGGTTATGGGTCATCCCATCAGGAAAGTCCAAGTGTGCTTTTAAATATCAACATGTGCTCCTGACGATCAGATTTTTCAATGTGGCAAAATTCACAAACCTCAACCCATTTTCACTACTAAATTCATGTAGACTCTCACGCCCTATAATTGCTTTGCAAACAACCTCCTGATGAATTTTGGCACTAAAGTCTCCGAGCAGAATTTTCATGTGGAATCCACTAAACTGATCCATAAAACTATCCTTTACATTATCATCCTCCTCTTCAGTTGGTGCATGCACATCTAAATTAATAATCAAATCACACCGTCGACCACGAAATATCAAGTGTGACACCCCATCACTGACAGATTCTACTCTTAGCTGCCCGCTGAAGATATCTTTTCACTGATAGAAACACGTTCCCAAGCAGTGGTCTTTATTCTCGTATCCATAGTGTAATAATAATAATAGCTAATGCATCCCACGCCAGTGTTCTATATATGATATCAAATTCCACGTTCCAATTCTAAGGTCTTTTAAACATCGTCTGTATCGTAAATTCGTACGATCCGCCCCGATCCGAAACTTTGCTGTTTCGTAACGTAACACATATTTATGGTGAGCTGGAGGACGCCTTATTGGCACGATTCACAAATTCTGTCCTGTACGTCGTATAGTTCGCGATTTAGTACGTCTGAATAATCATATCACCGCGGCTACGAGGCGACGCAGAGGAACGCGAGACCTTCGCTAACACGACGACTTTGCCCATCTCTCAGATGGGGAATGACAAGATCATCTACCGCATCCTTTACAATCATTCCACAATACTTTATACTAGCCAAATGGCTAGAATCTTAATTACCTTAATTAAATCCATTTCATTGTACAATGTCATATATGATTATAATAAATATTATTCCGTTTACACGACGTCTTCCAGTAATTTATGCCTTATTCCTAACGTTACGTTGTTTGGTCAAATTCTGATCTTCCTCAATCCTATCAAAAGTCTAAACTCAACTGCGTGACATAATATTTATCCTACCATTAAAATTATTAATTTCATTATCAACTTCCAGTCTAATCACATCTTCAATACCAAATACTGCTCCTGTAATTGTTAATATTATGAATAATAGTGAATCCTCCTGTAAAATAAAACTTGAAATTCTAGAATCTGCACCTACTCAAATAGTTAGGGAGTCATTTCCAAATTTATCAATTGTAAATATTATTGTTTACTAAAATCTGATACTTGGTTTCAAACACTAGATACTGCTCCTGTAATTGTTAATAATATTGAATCCTCCTGTAAAATAAAATTTCAAATTCTAGAATCTGCACCTACTCAAATAGTTAGGGGGTGGTTTCCAAATTTATAAATTGCAGCAGTGTCATTGAACAACTCCTCTTCTTTTTCTTGTCATTTGTCCCGCTTTTGCGGGATCTCCTTTTTTCCTCTCTTTTTGGAGGATGGGTGATCTACTTAAGACATCTGGTATGACTCGTTGGAAAAGTGATTAGCCCGTCACAAGGCCCGATATCACTGAATGATGCCTACTCTAAATATTATTGTTGATTCAAATCTGATACAGTAGGGCCCCGCTTTTCGACAGTCCGCGAATACGGCGCTACACAATCGCGTGTATGTGCTCCACGCGCTCCACAGCCGAGTCACAGAAGTGCGTCCGGCACCATTTTCTCGTCGCTCGTTCGGTCTCTTTGCGGCTACTACTGATATTCATTTTACTTTCATATCGTTTTCTTAGGCTAGTGCTATCGTGCACTTACTATTTCATAGCGTAAACATCTTATTAGGCTTTGATATGCATTTGCAATTGAAAAAAGACAAAGATCCGCTTTTCGGCAGGGTTCCGGTCCCTAACCTCCCGTATATCCGGTGCCCTACTGTACTTGCTTTCAAATACTAAATACTGCTCCTTTAATTTTGAATAATATGAATAATAGTGAATCCTCCTGTGAAATAAAACTTGAAATTCTAGAATCTGCACCTACTCAAATAGTTAGGGAGTCGTTTCCAAATTTATAAATTGCGGCAATGTCAGTGAACAGAGTCACACGACAGAGAATACGTTGGAAGGACCAGCTGTGATTAGATCCACAACATGGATCAGACCCAATGGCCTAATCTGTAGAGTTGTTGTTGTTGTTGTTGTTGATGATGATGATGATGGTTGTTCAACAATGACTACTGCAAATATTCTGATTGTGCGAATAAGGCATAAATTAGTAAAAGTATTGTCGTGCTTATTGCGATTACAACGCCGATAACTTTTACGATGGGAGAAACGATATCTGTAACTTCTTAATTGCTTGTATGGAGCACTTGCGTATAACAAAAATCTTAGGGAGTCGTTTCCAAATTTATAAATTGCGGCAATGTCAGTGAACAGAGTCACACGACAGAGAATACGTTGGAAGGACCAGCTGTGATTAGATCCACAACATGGATCAGACCCAATGGCCTAATCTGTAGAGTTGTTGTTGTTGTTGTTGTTGATGATGATGGTTGTTCAACAATGACTACTGCAAATATTCTGATTGTGCGAATAAGGCATAAATTAGTAAAAGTATTGTCGTGCTTATTGCGATTACAACGCCGATAACTTTTACGATGGGAGAAACGATATCTGTAACTTCTTAATTGCTTGTATGGAGCACTTGCGTATAACAAAAATCTTAACACTCACCACCCTTTGAGTTGTCAATCGACACTCACCACCTGTTGATTTGATGATTGACGGCAGATCGGAAGGCTGCGGGA